AACATGTATAGCTTGAGGAAAGACGAGACAGGGGGGATATGATAGAAACATTTAAATATATAAAGGGAATCAACACAGTAAAGGAGGAGACTATATTTAAAAGAAGAAAACCTACCACAACAAGAGGACATAGTCTTAAATTAGGGGCAAAGGTTTAACAATAATATCAGGAAGTATTACTTTACTGAGAGGGTAGTGGATGCATGGAATAGCCTTCCAGCTGAAGTGGTAGAGGTTAACACAGTAAAGGAGTTTAAGCATGCGTGGGATAGGCATAAGGCTATCCTAACTATAAGATAAGGCTAGGACTAATGAAAGTATTTAGAAAATTGGGCAGACTAGATGGGCCGAATGGTTCTTATCTGCCGTCACATTCTATGTTTCTATGTTTCTATGTTTCTATGTTTCTTTTGTCTCCTGGTATCCATTTATAGAGACACCAGAGACATGTTGCAAGGAAACACATTGCAAGCATGTTATTAAATTTGCTTGCACTGTGCAGAACAAATACAGGGCTTTTTTCTTATGCTAGAGCTCTTCCCTGGAAGAGCATTGAACCAACATGCTCACTTTGAGAGGGGGCGTGTTTGTCATGAGTGACGACAAAACACACCCTCTATGCCCCGCCTCCTTCTTAATGGGCCGCTGTGATAAAAAATGCCCGGGCCGAATTTTTTTCCCAGTCCGGCCCTGAGTGACGGTAAATACTGCAGTAATCCTGTGGGTAGCAGCATGGCACTTGTTGGCCTGGAGTAAATCCTATATACATAGTTACATAGTTACATAGTTACATAACTGAAAAGAGACTTGCGTCCATCAAGTTCAGCCTTCCTCACATATGTTTTTGCTGTTGATCCAAAAGAAGGCAAAAAACCCAGTCTGAAGCGCTTCCAATTTTGCCACAAACTAGGAAAAAAATCCTTCTTGACCGCAAAATAGCAGTCAGATGTCTCCTTGGATCAAGCAGCTATTACCCCACTAATTAGAAATTATATCCCTGTATGTTATGTTTTTGTAAGTATTTATCCAATTGCAGTTTGAAAATCTGTAAAGACACTGACAAAACCACCTCTTCAGGCAGAGAATTCCATATCCTTATTTCTCTTACTGTAAAAAAAAACCTTTTCTTTCCCTTAGATGAAATCTCCTTTCTTCCAGCCTAAATGTGTGACCTTGTATCCTATGTATAGCCCTGTTTATGAATAGATTTCCAGATAAAGGTTTGTACTGACCCAGAATATATTTGTATAAAGTTATCATATCCCCTCCCAGGTGCCGTTTTTCCAAACTAAACAGGTTTATTTTTTTTAACCTTTCTTCATAACTAAAATGTTCCATTCCTTTTATCAATGTTGTAGCTTGTCTCTGGACTTTTTCTAGTGCCATGATATCTTTCTTTAGAACGGGCGCCCAAAATTGCACAGCATATTCAAGGTGTGGTCTTAACAGTGATTTATAAAGAGGCCAAATTATATTTTCATCCCGAAAATTTATGCCTCTATTTATACATGACAAAACCTTACTGGCCTTAGCAACTGCAGATTGACATTGCATATTGCTGCCTAATTTGTTGTCTATAACAATTCCCAAATCCTTCTTGTGTGTGGTTATCCCTAGTTCACTACCATTTAGAGTGTAAATTGTTTGTGAATTCGTAAACCCGAAGTGCATAACTTTGCATTTCTCTATGTTAAATTTCATCTGCCATTTTAGTGCCCAGTCCCCCAATATATCCAAATCCCTCTGCAGCAAAGCAATATCCTGCTCACATTTTATTACCTAAAAAGTTTTGTGTCATCTGCAAACACTGATACATGGCTTTCAATACCTATTTCAAGATCATTTATAAATATGTTAAATAGAAGTGGTCCCAAAACAGAACCCTGAGGGACACCACTTACCACTTTTGTCCAGCCTTAAGATCTACCATTAATGACTACTCATTGTACTCTATCCTTAAGCCAATGTTCTATCCAAGAACAAAAATATTCATCTAGACCAATTTATTTTAGTTTGAAGACTAACCTATTGTGAGGAACCGTATCAAATGCCTTGGCAAAATCCAAGTAGATCACATCCACTGCAACACCCTGATCTATACTTCTACTTACTTCTTCGTAGAATGCAATTAGGTTATGTCATGCCAAAAGCATGAGTTGGTGTTTGATGTGTGTTTATATATGTTAAGAGTAGTTTTTTTGTAAACCTTGGGATGACATTTATTGTGGTCTTTGATCCTGCACCAGGCCTAGACCATAAAACATCTAGATAGCCATCACCAGAGCTGGACACAAGGAATTTCATAGAGTGGGCAATAGACTGCCAGACCAACCCCCTCTGATCCCCCCCCCAGGGGTCTGCCCACTGAGAAACAACTAGTTTAGATATATGAGGGTGTTGAACTATCCAGGGAAGTCAGTTATTCATTTTTCTTTTGTCAGTAACTTCTAGGAGACCTATACCATCTAAGACTCCCACAAGAATTCTATATGGGGTAAATATATGTAAGGAATTTCTTGTGTTTTCTCCTATTTTATTTTATGTACTGGTTTGCAATTTGTTATCTGTATGTCATTTATTTCTGTATTTTGTACTCAGCACTGTGAATCCTTTTTGTCAGATTAAATGTTTACTTAATCAGCTTGTGTCTCTGATCTCTATGAGCTTCACTCTCCAGAGGAAAGCTCAGGTAAACACGTTACCAAAAAGGGGTTAACTATATATGTTTTATCAGTAAAAGTAGAACTGTGATACTATAATTCTCCTGTGTGTGGGGTAACCTAAGACGCCCGGGTTTAAAAGTCTTGGTGGTGGCAGTAGAGTATGTACTAAGGGAGATAGTGTAGAAGGGATTGCAGGGGTTAATTGAGTGGTTGCTGGGACTAGCAACAGGTAACCAGGGGTCTGGTGTCATTAACCCTGTCACTTCCACACTCTCCCCACTGTCTCGGTTGGGCCTATAGCCCACGCACGTGACAAACTGGCGGCAGCTAGTGGGATATATTTAGAGATTTTTAGTGCTTGCTAGATTTTACCTGTAAAGGGGGTCTTAGCACTAAAAGAAATTGCATACTTGTTTTTGTGTAATTTCCAAAGACCAAGCTCAGTGCTGATTTAAAATACATACAAAGTGCAAAACAGTTCTTCCCTCCCATCTTTTGTTTTTCTTTCTCTATCCTATTTGTGAATATGGAGGCCTATCGCAAACAATCAAAAGAGGCCTTGGAATTGTTGTGCCAAGAAAAGAATTTACCAACTTTTGGCAAAAATATGGCACAACTTATTGCTGACCTTGTGGAGGCTAACAGCCATATTTTCCAGCCAGAGACGGACACTGAAAGGGTTACCGAGCTCCCTACTACTGCAGGAGTGTTGCTTACTGAAATGCCTGGTGGTTGTACCCCTCAAAACATTAAGGACATTTGCTCAACTGATTTATTTCGGCAACTGATGGCAGCAAATCCTCAGGAGGCCCTGCATGTGATGATCCAACAGCAGGCTGCAGAAAGGGAATCTGCAGAGAGGCTAGCCGAAAGGGAGGCACAAAGGAGACATGAGCTGGAACTTGCTAAACTGCAATTTACTCTTCAGTCCTCACTGAACAGCAATGCATCAGAGTCCAGCACACGTAGGCTCCGTAAGGATGATTTTCCTTCCCTTGAAGAAGGGACAGATTTGGATGTATTTTTAAAATGTTTTGAGAAAGTATGCCGGCAGCATCAACTACCCTCAGACCAGTGGGGCAGATATTTAACTCCACAACTGAAAGGGAAAGCCTTGGATGTGTTTGTGTCCCTTCCCCCAGAGACTGATAACAACTATGAGGCAATCAAATCTGCATTGCAAAAAACTTTTAACCTTACTCCTGAGTCTTACAGGAAAAGGTTTAGGAGTATGCAGCAATGCCCATCATCCAGCTGCATTCTATATGTTGCACAATTAGAAACCACGTTCCGGCAATGGGTAACAGGAGTACAAGCTACTACCTATGAAGCCCTTAATGACTTACTGGTCCTAGAGCAGTTCTTGCAGACCCGGAGCCCTAATGTAAGAGAGTGGATTTTGGAAAGAAAGCCAAAAAATGCTAGGGCTGCTGCAGAACTGGCAGATGACTATGCAGACATCCATGCACCCACATCCAGGCGTGGACTTGTGTCAGCTGCTACTTCGACCTGGAGAGAAGCTACTGTTCAATCACCACTTGTAAGATCTGCAGTGAGAACTTCACCGCCGACTGCCAGCGTAGCCGGGGCTATGTCAAGTGAGTCAGATGCCCGCCGTTGTTTTCGATGCAACCAGATTGGTCATCTGAGCAGGACTTGCCCCACTAGGAATATGCCCTCACCAGTCCGTGGAGGGGCATCATCAGTATTGCTTGTGGGTGGGTCCGTGGGGAAACAAGAGGATAACCTGCAGAGTGTAATTGTGGGTGACCGAGTGACCATGGGACTGAGAGATTCTGGAGCTTCCTTCACCCTGGTGCGCCCTGAAGTGGTGAATACGGAGGACATAATCCCTG